AAAGGGCCCTGAGGACCAGCCCTGCGTGTGATGCCAGCACACGTCAGGTACACGTGCACCTGCTGGCCCTCTGCAGACGCAACCCGCCGTGCTCACAGGCATGTAGTTGGTGCTTCATAAACACTCGTGGATGACTGTGTGGTCCCAGGTTGATGCTGAGCTGGGTGGATGGTGGTGCTCTGGTGAGCTCAGACCACTGACACGCGGTCCTAGCCCAACTGCCCCCCACCCCTGCATTTCTTCTTCCAGCCTGGGCACTTTTTGCCTTGGTTTCTTCAACTATTAAAAAGAAAAGACAATGACAGCTCCTGCCCCACCAGTCTGTCACAGGGACACGGTGAGAGGAGGTGGGAAAGGGCTTGCTAAGGTGCCCGTAATAGGTTTAGAGAGAGAGCAGTCCCGTTCCGGCTGTGGTTGGCCCTGGGCCCACTGGGTCCCAGGCTCACAGCTCGGCTGCTTCTTGCCCAGCAGGAATGGCTGGAGCTTGGCCTGCCTCTGCCCAAGTGCCCACCAGGCTGTCCCGAGGCCAGGTGATGCCAGAGACCAGGTGGTTCCAAGGCCAGGTCCACCGGCACATCCTGCGCCCCAGTGAGCATCCACAGCGCCACCTGGTGTCCACTGGAGAAATGGCTGGGGTTCTGGAGGGTTTCAAATCCCAGAGCCCCAGCTTCCAAGAAGAGGCGGTGGCTGCCTGAGCTCTGTGAACTCACCCTGGGGACCACTTTAGGTAGGTCCTAATGTCTCCCCAGGTAGCTCTGTACCTCACTGAGGGACACAAGCAAGTCACTGTCTCCTGGGATTCGGGGAACACAGCACATTTTAGCTCTCGTCTTTCACGTGTGTGCCCCCTGGGACTAGCCCCCGCAGCCTGGAAAACAGGTCACCCTCTCCTCCAATGTGCACGCCACCCAGAACCGCCCAAGTTCCGCCTGCTCCAGGTAAGAAGCCCTGCGTCCTCCAGCCCTGAGTCAGTGGTCCCTGTGTTGACTCTTCCTCCCAGGGTCTCTCTTCCAGACAGGGCTGTCCTTTGCCTTGTCAACTTTTACAGTCAAAGTCAACTTTTTGTTAGTCACGAACACCTCAAGGGTGGAGGCTGCGTCTAGTTTTTTCTTAGAATCCTTGAGGTCTGGAGCTGGAACATGCAGTACTTGTTGAATAAATAGCAAAAGCATCTCTTTAAAAGCTTTAAAAAAAAATCCTTAAAGCACTGAGCTCCGTCCTTAAGTCTCCTCCGGCCTGGCTTTCCCATGCCAGCACCAGAACCCCCTGCACTTGCTGAAGCCCAGTCCTGGGTGCCTCCCCCAGGCCAGGCTGTGGTCAGAAATGTCACTGTGTGTATAGTCACGTCTGCCCTCAGGCTTTCTTCTGGGCTGCTTTCTGTGGCTGTTTCATCATGTATGCCATATATGAACATAGTACCTCTCGTGTGTATGGTTGGTAAGTAAATAATGTACATGCACTGGGTGGGGGGGGGTTGTCCTGGAGAGTCAGAGCCTCATGTCGACCCTTTGACTGCTCCACTGAAACTGCTCAGCGTGAGGCCCCTTCCCTGACGCGGGTGATGCTGACAGCAGGGCCACTATGTGACCACCCCAGATGCCTGCCCAGGGAGACACAGCTGCCACTGGGGTCACAGACAAGTAGCCCAGATGTGGGTAGCCCCCCTGCCCAGGGGCCTGAGAGTTACCACCAGGTCTGGAACTGGTGGCCCCCGGCAGGCGCCCTCTAGAGGACTTCCCAAGGCTTTTCTTTCCCACTCAACATAAGGGACTCCATCCACTGGTCCCAGCACTCAGGGTACCAAGTGATTATCCAACTTGTCATTGCTCCTTGCTAAGCGGACAAAGCAAAACTGTGGCAAGGTGGCTGGGGCAGAGGAACCCAGGAGTTGGAGGCTGCAGTGGACTGCACTGCACTCCAGCCCAGGCAACAGAGTGAGACAAGATCCCTCCTCAAAAAAAAAAAAAAAAAGAAAGAAAGAAAGGAAAGAATCCTTATGAGCTCCTCCTACCATGAATAAATTCCCCTGAAAAGCAACATGTGAAAACTTTTTCCATAATCAGTATTAAACTTCCCCATCCAGCATTTTATCTCAGACATATAATGCTTTTAGGAAGTTACGGACATGGGTGAGAATGTGAAGCACCACTTTACCCTGGACTTTCTACCCTGGATCTCAGGGCTGGGCCCTTGGACCGGCACACAGAGGCTCACTTTGCCAGCAGCAGGAAGCTGGACTGCAGAGACCCTGCCTGTCTGTGCAGAGGGCCAGCCCTCCCCAGGAGCCTCTTGGGGCTGAATGGGAGGGCCTGTCCCTCAGAAGACCCCTGAAGAAAGCCCACTGGGGTTTGCAAACGACAGTAGGTGTGTCTTGCTCCACATTGCAGCATGGTGGCCAGCGGGGGCTCAGTTAGTTCACCACAGCAGAGTTCCCAGTGTCCGTTTCTAGAATGCGTCCTGCCTTCCCTGCTCCGTGAGACTATAGCTCCAACTCCATGTTTGTATAAAGCAGTGGTTCTCAACCTTCCTAATGCCATGGCCCTTTAATACAGTTCCTGTGGATTGCGACCCACAGGTTGAGAACACTGGCTTAAAGACACCCAAATTTCTAGCATAAATAACAAGAGGCTCAGGTTTAAAATATACTGTGGGAAAAAGAGCAGAGGAGAAAGGGCAGATCCTCCACATGGTGGCCAGGCTGGCCAAGTGCTCCCAGGGCCTGACCCTGTCCACGCTCCCCAGGCCCTGGCTCCTCCTCCCCCCACGACCCCTTCTGGCCCCCTCTGGCCTATCCATTCAGCTGTTATCTGCTGTGTCTGTAGTACCCACAGGCTGTGTGGGAGCTGCAGAGGAGCCCTGGCCTCTCAGAGCCACGTATGTGTGTGTGTGAGCAGAGCAGATGGCAGCGGGAAGAGCAGCACAGCCCTGGGGAAGGGGGACAGTGAAGGGAAGAGGGCACATGTTGACGCAGGCAGTGGGGTGGCTGCCAGGACCAGGTGACGTCAGCTCGGTGTGGCCGCTCACCCCTCCTGGGGATGATGAGAGTCTGGGGGGGATCATGGTTGGTGCCTGTAAGGACCAATGAGGGGACTGGAGAATCAGCAACCCCAGGGGGCTGGAGACAGGCCATGTGGTCCACAGGACCCAGGGAGGACATGGCGTTTAACCCCTCAGGCAGCCACTGGAGAGATGTGAGCAAGAGGAGCCATTACCCAGCTTACACCTGCCCCTGGGCCTGCGGTGGCCGGCGTGGGGAGTCGAGGTGGGGGGATGAGGTCAGTGCAGCCAGACCCTCAGGAGGCCCTGCCAGCGGGAAAGAATGGCAGACCCTGGAGCAGAGGGCAGATGGGTCCTGGTCTGCTGGGAAGAGGGGCTGAGAGGACATCTTGGTCACCCGGGTGTCAGTGCAAAGTCAGAGTGGGGTCAAGGTGGCTCCAGACCGCAGAAGCTCTGAGGCACCACATGCTGAATGGAAGGGGAAGCTCAGAGTCCCAGCCTGGGGGCACGGATGGGGAACCTCGGCCTGAGAACACGTGGTCCACAGTGCCCAGGAGCCTCAGGCAAACACTCTGGGTCCCTGGATACCTCAGAGCTCAGGAGGAGTCAGCCGGAGGGAGGAATCAGGACTCGGGTTACAGATGTTGGTAAGGCCACAGGTCCCATAGCTGCTCACTGACTCGGAACCAGGCACAGATGGGCTATCAGGCTGTCAGCACTGGGGCGGGGGTGTCATCGGCACCCAGTGCACAGAGGCCCGGGATGCCGCCATTCCTTCATTGGAGAGAGTAACCTGGCCCCACGGGTACTAGTGCCAGAGACGAGGGATCTTTCTCCAGCCCGTGACCCCCGATTACACCAGCTGCTCTCAGAAATGACTTATGTAAGCTCATCCTTTGGGAGGCTGATGGCGTTTATGGGGAAAGGGCCATATGGTGTGGGGACACCACAGGCTGCAACCTCTTTGGAGGTTCCCGGGCCCTCTGGGCTCCAAGTTTCTGCCACAAAGACCGTGGTTCAGCTGTCCAAGTAGCTTCTTCTCTACACACGGGATAACAGCGTCCTTCCTGTACTGCAGGGCACACTCAAAACTGCTCCACTGGGCCAGCAGGGGATTCGGGGGTGTGAAAGGCGACAGGGACACTGGGCTACTGGTCCATCTGCACAGTCACAGGGCCAGCTTCCTGCATCCACGTGGTAACAGCCTGGCATCAGCCACCTTCTCTATCTCCCACTGGACGCCCAGGTAACAGAACACCAGAGCTCTGCCCACAACAGCCACCATGCGGCAGTGCCAAGAAGACCAGCAGTCCCTCCTCACTCCCCTGTGACCCTCTGGGAGTGACAGGAGAGCCCAGCACAGCCCGTCCCAGATGTGGAGGGCACCCCTCCCTGTCCCTGCCAGCTATTGTGTCTCATGGAGGTCTGCAGTCATCTGTCTGAGACTGCGAGGGCAGGACAGAACCGTTTCTCTGACCTTGATGACACATTGTGAGGACCAGCGTGGATGTCTGGTCCCACACATGCACGCATGGTGTCTCCACACCGTTTCTGAGATGGCCATTTGGGGTCAGCCTATCAAATGAACACTGTCCCCCTCCCCGCTCCATCTCCCTCTCATCTTACTTTTTGTAATTTAGAATTTTCTGCTTTACCTTCCAAACATTGGCCACGTACATACTTTCTGTCACATGTTCCTCAGAGATGACATGCTAGAGTCACTTGCTATACCACATTTATGTTTTTTGAAATACACGCAAAAACTAACTCATAGCTTTCAAAATAAAACAAGTCCGCCCGGCATCTCCCCTAGCCACACTCTGAGCCCAGCCACGCACTCCTGGGTGTTGGGAAGGGACCCCACTTCTGCTTCTCGGCAGTACAGCCCTGGTCCTGACCCCTCTGTGCTGGTGGCAAAAGTAGCTCAGTCCCGAGCGCTGTGCTCCCTTCCCCAGTGACACGGGAAGCCCTCTGACAGCCCGCTCATGACCTCCCTCTCTCACCAGAGATGATGGAGTCATTCAGCACCTCCTCGTCCTGATACAAGAGCAAGTCGTCCTTGAGTTCAGAGTTCACGATCAGGTTCTCCTTGTTCTCCTCAGACTCCTTAGCCACTGCCCGCTTGCTCTCCGGGATTCCATCAGCGCCCCAGGCCTCCTCACGCTCCTTGGCCCGCTCCATGCTGGACGTTCTCGACAGACGAACGTCCACCCGCTTCTTGGGAGACCCTTTGCTTTCCCTTCCTTGAAAACTAAAACAGAAGACAGTTTGGGTCACACGTTATCCCCCCAACCCAGAAACCCAGCAAAATGCACATAAGGCTTATACTGAATACGGCAAAGGGGGCCCGAGAACACAGGGCTTCAGGGCTTCTGTCCCAGTCACACCAGAAGGAGTACGGGCTTTGAGTCCAATGCAGGTGGCCGTTTTTCAGAAAGCACACAACGTGCATATAATGAAAACTTCCCCAACACAGAGTGGCCGCTGCTTGGATGGAGACCTTCACCAGAGCTGAGAGGGGGCACACACCTGACATTACACACACACACACACACACACACACACGGGCCTTCCATCAGCTATTTTGCCTACAACATTTCACTGTTTCATCACAGAATTGAGCCACATGTGGCCCAAAATAAAAGGCAAGCTGCAGGCATGGCTGCCTGGCACTCTTGCCTGGTGAAAAATGTGATTGCCTCAGAGTTCCTGGAAACAAATCACCCTTCCTCTCCTAGGCAGCCCCAACCCCACCTGTGGCTGGGTCCCCTCCGGTAATGTGGGAACCAAGGCTGGCTCCATCACCTGCATAGTCCAGTATAAAATGAACACATGGGGTTCCTTGTTCAAAAATCATTAAGAGGCTTGGCACCCGTAGCTCAATGGTTAAGGTGCTAGACACATACACCAGGGCTGGCAGGTTCAAACCCAACCTGGGCCTGCTAAACAATAACAACTACTACAACAACAAGAACAACAAATAGCCAGGTGTTGTGGCAGGCACCTGTAGTCCCAGCTATTTGGGATACTGAGGCAAGAGAATCACTTAAGCCCAAGAGTTTGAGGTTGCCGTGAGCTGTGATGCCACAGCACTCTACCAAGGTAAATATGGTGAGACTCTGTCTCAAAATAAATAAATAAATAAATATTTAAAAAAAAACAAACTAAAAACAGAAATCACTAAGAATGCAAGATAGCATCAAATGGCAGGTCTATTTCTACTTCTCTAAGTGTTCTCCAAACATTTTTCCAAAAGGGACGTGTTAGTTTGCAGTCCCACCAGCAGTGTACAAGTGTTCACTTTTTTCCACATCCACGCGAGCATCTCTGGTTTTGATTTTGTGATGTGGGCCAGTCTTACTGGAGTTAGATGATACCTCAAAGTAGTTTTGATTTGCATTTCTCTGATGGTTAATGATGATGAGCACTGCATTAATGTACACAGCTATGATTTAATAAAAAAAAAAAAAAAGAATTCAAGATAGCAGAGCATGAAAATTGGCTGGGGGCAGGGGCTGCACACCCCAAGGTCAGCCCTTTCGGGAAACCCAGGAGCACCAGCCTCCCCGCAGGGCCGGGCCTCACCTGTCCTGGCGGTGCTTCGTGGCCAGCGCCCTGTGCAGCTCCTCAATGACGCGGCTGGGAGGCAGCGGCCGGTGGACAGCCGTGAGGTGTGGAGACCCTGTGGGTGTGGAAAGCTGTCCTCGGAGGGGAGGCTCAGCACTCTTCATGCTGGGGGCTTGGAAGAGCACAGCTTGGCCTGGAACGTGGGAGGAAGCGGGAAGACAGAACTCTTCAGGACGAGGGGCCTCCCTCAGACACCGGCCTGGGAGCAGAGAGGACTCCCACCCCACACTCCCAGCCAGGCAGCCCTGACCAACACAGTGGTGCAGGACCAGGACTCCCTGCTCCCAAAGCTGGGGACAGGGCACATCTCTGCCCAGTCCTGCCCCACTGGTGGGGCTCCCGAGGTCAGCACCAGCAACTCCCTGCAGGGACTCAAACTTAGAAAAGCCTCCTTCTGCCTCCCTGGGTTGAGCGCAGCTTCCTGACGCTGCTCATTCTCTCTGTGGAGCCCAGAAGAATTTGTTCAGCTCTGTAGACATCCTGCAGCCTGCCCCGCCCTCTGCCCTTCCCACGGCACCTGCTCATGTTGGCCTCTGTCCTCTCCCTGTGCCTCAGCTGGGAACTCTCTTGAAAGGAGGATCTGATCATTCTCTCCTATCTTCCTTAGGATGTGATTTGAGCTCAGGCCTCAGGCCCAGGCCCCTTGGACATGTGGCCCAGGCCTGGCTGTGTCTCTGCTGTCTCTGTCCCACTCTCTTCACTGTAGCACCACACAGAGAGCTTTGCAGTCCCTGAAGGCTCTGCATTCTTACTACTCGGAGCTTTTGCATGGGCTGTTCCCTCTGCCTGAAATGCTTTTCCCCTTCTCTGCTGCACTATCGCCTCCCAGAGAGGCCTCTGTGAATCCCACCCCGTGGGACCTGAGGCTGCCATTGACACCCCTTTCCTCCCACATGCCTGTCCACCTGCCTCACCATAGTGTCCCCTTGTGTGGCACTTAGAGTGTGAGCCACGAACATTTATTTACCTGAAATGAATTTGAAGATGATTGAGAACAGACTTTCTAAATCTAACCTAAAAGTGTGAGGCCCCTCTCCTCCTGTGGACATGTGCTCTGTGTCAGATGCTCAGAGCCACTGAGACTGGGCCTCTGGTGCCCATCTGCTGCTTCCTAGTGCAAGACTCTGGGCACGTCCCCCAAGCTTTGGAGGCTCAGCCTCCTTGCCTGTGACTGGCCCCCTGGTCCCTGACAGGGCCCAGCACTGGGGACCCAGCACACCCTAAGTAATCACACACAGACTGTCATTACGAGGGTACCTCGGCAGGTGCAGCCAGACTGAGATAAGGAAATCAACTCCCTTCTAACCCCTACAGGAAAGCAAAGGGATTAAAGCACCCCACTCCCTAGAACCCAGAAACAAACTCTCCAACCCCACCCTGGAGCATGGACAGTATCAGTAGAAAGTATAACTCAGACCAGGGGGAAACGGCATGGCTGTTGAGGGTTCCAAGTATTTAGCTGTCCTCATGAGCATGTGCCTTTACCAGACAAGACCAGGCCTCGGGGAAAGAGCCCAGGCCCCACGTGGGTGGAGCCACCAGGGCCTGGCGGACAAATCAGAACAAGGTTCCAGGGAAAGAGGGAGAGAGAAGGTCTTTGTACCACTGTCCACTGAGGACAGGTCCAACACCCGTGCCCTGCACCCTGCTCTGCTGAGCACGTTTGCTGAGCTGCTCACGTTCAGCCTGCCCAGGGCACCTCTTGTCATTCCCATTTCTCAGACAGGGACGCTGAGGCCCAGAAGCAAACTCGAAGGCATGTCACAGGACCGAGTGGGGCTGGCACCTGGTCCGTGACTCCAGTTATAGTTGGTAGAGATTGTGGGACCTCCCCTCACAGAGCCACCTGTCACCAGTTGGACTGGGGTGGAGAAAACACCATGGTGACAGGGGTGAACTCACATGTCCCCAGGAGCCAGGCAGGAGAACTGTGGTGGGTTCAGGAGCCCCTCCTCACAGCCTGCTGTGATTCAGACTGTTGTCAAAAACAAAAACTTTTCAAAGGAAACAGCCTTCACCAGATGCCAAGTCTGTCTGCACCTTAATCTTGGGCTTTCAGCCTCCAGAACGGTGACAAATAGATTTCTGTTGACCACAAGCCACCTAGTCTATGGTATTTCATTGGTACAGCCTGGACAGACAGTGACACCTGTAGCCCAGTCTCAAGCAAGAAAGCACCTGGCGTGGGCAGACTCAGTTGTGCACCTGTGTCCCCGCCTGCAAGTTAAGCCCAGGTAAGGAGACCTTCGCCCTCTCTGCTGCCACCTGGTGTTCACATGATGCAGGAGCAAACAGTTTTCCCCAAAGAAAAAGAAGAGCAGAGAAAATCAAGACCAAGTCACCAAAATATAGTCTCAGCAGTGAGAAAGCCCAGGCCACATCCCAAGGATCATCACCAGCCCCCTCTCCCACTCCCAGTCCACTCTCCATGTCCCCTGATGTCCTTGCCACAGAGGGGAGGGTGGAAACCAGAGGTGCTGACTGGGGGTCAGATACCAGAATTTAGGATGAGCAAAGGGTCAGGTCACAGTGCCAATTGTGCTCTGAGGCCTGACCGTCCCAAGCAGGGGGGTGCAGAACAGTGTCCAGACTACTTAGTTATTGAGGGTCAGAAACGACTCCTATATTATATTAGCCAGAACACAGTGGGGTGGGCAGCGACTAAGCAAGTGGATTGTAAATTGTCTCATGTTTCAATGGATGAAAATGGCAATTTTTACTATGATGCACCTAATAAAAAAATGCAAAATCGTGGGCAGAAGGATGTGCCCAGCGCCATGGCTGCCGTAGAGGGTGCAGGGCTACACAAATGATTCTACAGACAAGGTGAATTCTGTTCCTTGGGCTGGTATAACAAGCTGGGCAGCTTAGAGCAACAGAACAACTCTCACAGTTAGGGAGGCCAGAAATAGAAACCAGGACACTGCCAGGGTTGGTTCCTTCAGAGAGAGAAGCCGCCCCACCCATCCCAGGCTCTCCCAGCCCCTCCCTGCCCCTCCCAGCCCCTCCCAGCCCCTCCCAGCCCCTCCCAGCCTCTGGTGGCTATCAGGCAATTCTGGGAGTTCCTGGGCCTGCAGATGCCTCACACAGGTTCTGTGTCCCTGAGATTCCAGGTAGCCATGAATTTGGGGGACACTAATTCAGCTTGTGACACAAGGCACAAGGAACACGGTAAATACCGCAGACGAGGTGCACGGTGCTGAGGCTGGAGGCCAGGGAGGGCTCCCGGGAGGAGGGAACTCTCTGGCTGAAGTCCAGAGGTGTCAGAGGGAGCAGGGAGGCAGCCAGGCCAGGTCTGGTGGGGGGCATACTCCCACTTACACCTTCACACCTCAGTGGCACCACCCACCTTCACAGAGCCGCACTGATTAACAGTAGTGCCCAGTCTCCATCTAACCCACTCTGTGACACCTGCTGTCACACCTATGCGTTCTTGCATGTGGCACATCTGGCCGCCTCTGCCCCTGTGCTCTCTGTAGAAGACTTAGTTTGCTAAAATATCTCATTCACACTAGGCCTAAAACAGGAAAAAAACAAACAAACCAGAAAATGCCCCATGGAAAGCATTTTCCACCTAAGAGAACACGAAAGGGTGAGTGCCCACCCCACAAAGGGTGGTGAGGCCCCTGCAAAGGAGAGCTGGGCTGAGCCTGGTCGTCCCGTGCTCCAGCCAGGTGCCCCAAGTGCCAGCAGCTGACACCTTAGGGTCATGCTTTTCCAGGAGAGTGGGGAGCAGCGAGTGAGGATTAGGGGAGCACCTGGCCACACTTGCTGGTGGGTAGCATTGGGGGGCAACTCTGAGTTTCAGAACCAGAACCAGGTATAAGTGTCAATCTCTCATAGGAGCTGGAGTGAGTCACTGGAGTTTCCTGAACCTCCACTTCTTCAGCTGTAAATGGGTACATGTTGCCTCCCCAGAGGAGATGGCCTATGGATTCAGTGAGTGGGCTGTGTGTATCGGGGCCTCTTGGGAGCATGTGGGACTGGTGCCACCCCAACTGATGGCAGGTAGCATTATTGGTGATGTTCAGTGCTCAGAGTGAAGCCCTTTGTCCCTGCTGTGTCCAGCATCTCTCGTACCCAGGGCCTCAGAGACAGCACCTAAGCATTTATTCTCAGAGATGAGCACCTTGCGGTGAACAGCCTGCTCCCCCTGAGATCCTCAGTGTGTCCTGCTCCAGCAACAGCAGAACAAGAGACACCCAAGCTTGAAAGTTAATCTCTCCTGGGATTACTCAGCCAGTGAGACCAAAGCTACAGAAAAGCATGACTTTGGGGGTCTATTCAGCTATGTTCCCTGCACTTGACCTCCACCCTGAAGTCTGCTATTCACTCCTGGCTCTGCCTTGCTGGACAGAGCTTCCTGGAAAGTTAACTGGCAAAAGAGAGACTAGCAGACAGCAGGAGGGAAGGCGAGAGCAGGGGCAGGAACTGACTGATTCAGAGAGCAGCAGAAATAGAGGATAGACAGACACATGAATGTACCCACAGAGAGAGGCAAAGGCCCCAGCCCAGAGGCTGGCTATGTCTCCTGTTCTGGAAGACACCCCTCTTTGACTCTTGCAGAGAGACCACCCTGTGTGCTTGAGGGAGGCTGAGCAGTCTGCTACTGACAACCAAGCTCCTTCCTATGAGCTAGCCCCCTGGATCCCTCCTCCCAGATCCCCAATCACAGAAGCAAAGAGTGGGCACCAGCCTATAGAGGTACCCAACCAAGACCAGCTGAAGGGATGGATGCATAGGTGGATGGATGGATGCATAGATGGATAAATGAACGAATGGATAGATGGATGGATGAATAGATGGATGGATGGATGGATAAATAAATAGATGGATGGATGGATGGATGTGTAGATGGATAGATGGATGGATGCATGGATGGATCTATGGATAGATGAATGGATGGATGGATGGATGGATGGATCTATGGATAGATGAATGGATGGATGGATGGATGGATGAATAGATGGATGGATGGATAAATAAATAGATGGATGGATGGATGGATGGATGGATGGATGGATGGATGGATGTGTAGATGGATGGATGGATGGATGCATGTATGGATACATGGATGAATAAAGAGAGAAAGAAAGGGAAGATGATGAAAGGGATAGATGGGGACTCACCTGTGACACTCTTGGTGGTTTTGACACTGGCCTTGGGTGGTGGGGTGGGCAGCAGTGGGGGGCTGGGCAGCTGGCCTGCGGATCTCTCCAGAGGTCTGGGAGGATTGTCCAGGGAGTCAGGCCCCGCTGAGGCCTGGGAAGGCTCATCAGTGGCAGATGGGATGCTGCTAGCATCTGCTTCTTCGCTGCTGGACGCAGATGGGATCTTGGCTGTTTCAAAGGCAAAGCAGAGAGTTCACATTTCCTCTGACTGCAGTGGGCATGAGGGAGCAGAGCAGGAGGGGCCTGGTGGGGCGGGACTCGGTCCAGAATAAGAAGCAGGTACTTCCCATGCAGACTTGCCTTCTTTCAAGTTCAACTATCAAGAAAGCCATGGGGGGCAAAGCAGGGGAGGGAGGTCATTTCCAGAGTGAGAGTGGCTCCATCCCTTTTCCACATGACAGGTGTGTCCCCAGGCTCCTGCCCCACCTGGGAGCAGTGGTTACCAGGCCAGGTTTGGGAGTCAGACACACTTGAGCCTGATTCGCCTTTGCACTTTCTCTGTGGCCTTATGTAAGTTAGAGAATCTCTCTGGGCCATAGTTACTCATGTATGACATGGTGCTAACAACTGCCCTTCACAGGTCGGTTTCCATGAATGGCCAGGAGATGTGTTCCTGGCTCAGTGTACACCTCATGTCCAGTGGTGCTTGTCCTTATGCATGTGATTTTCAGCAGCCCCTCCTGGGCAGACTGGCCCCGATCGGAGGGTGGGGAGGAGGGACCTCGAGGAAGGGCAGGTGCCAGAGCCCTCATTATCTTCTCTCTCTCCAGCCACTTATCCAGCCGCCTCCACCCCCACCCACTCACTGTACATTACACAAATGTCTGTATGAAAGTCCTGACACTGTCCGCCTCACCTCTTCCGTGGGGAACGTTTGCCTGGAGCTACCTGGCACTCTCCTGACTTGTCTCCTCCCAGGGACCTGGGCATCTGGACAGGTGGGCAGCATTTGAACTGGGCTCCACGGTTTGCTTGCAGGTGTCACGGAGGGAAGTTGGGTTCCCATCCTGGGCCAGCCTGTCCCTATCAGGTCTCCGCAAGAGTCCACTAGGGAAGCACAGGTTTGGGCCCACATTCCACAGCCCCAAGGGCTGCTGACAGGTTGACCTCTCAGCCCTGTCATCAATTTCTCCACTCTTCTAGATCCCAAGATCTAAATGCATGATCTGAAACCCAAAAGCCCCCTGACCTCAGTGTTCCCCCAGCTACGGCCACCACTCCTCATTTAAAAGATAAACTTATCCGAAAAGGTCTCTGTAGCAGTATCTCCACTCCCCGCAGCCTGATTCCATCCCATGGAACAAGGCCTCACCCTCCCTGAGGTACTGTCCAGCCTGGCTTCCCAACACCATGCTCTCCAGGTCCCTTCCCCTCCCGGTCCCCTCCTGCAGGCCCTGCCTCCTGCACCTGACAGCTTCACCCTGGCTGCCCCAGGACTCAGGCCTGGGTCCTCTCCCCTGTCTAACCCTCACTGGCCAGTCCCATCTGGTCCTCTGGCTTCAGAATCTAATTCATTTTTCTGTGGACCCCTGACCATTCCTCTGGGCTCCAGGCTCACATATTATTACCACCTTGACACCTCCATCTAGAGATGAAATGGGCATCATAAACATCCAAACCCAACTCTCCATCCCTACCACAAAGCTGCCCAGTCTTCCCTTCTCTCTCTCTCTCTCTTGTCCATCTGTCAATCCATCTTGCAAATGTTACCACACAGCCGTGGGATCTAGGTGCCCTTCTAGAAGCTGTGGACATGGCACAGAGTCAGGCAGGTCCCTGCCTTCCCTAGGCTCAGAGCTGTCCAGCCAGGCTGGTACATGGGCCAGTCCTGTGAGCTCTACCTCCAAAGCATTTCTCGGGGTCATCCACTTGTCCCCATTGTGAGTGACCAGAACCTCCCCACAGGCCTCGTGCCCTGACTCATGCCCCAACTGGGAGTTTGGCAAACATTTCCTGCAGAGAGCCATGTGGGAAATATTTTCAGCTTGGGCCATGTGGTCTTTCATTGCCATTACAGTCTCTGTCAGGTTGGAAAATTCTGGAAGGGCTGGACAATCTAAACAATAATAACTCTCCTGGTTTTACAGAAAAGTGGACATTCGGCCACCTGTCACATTGGACCCTCAGCACTGCCCAGCAAAACTTTCTATGATAAAAATGTTTCCTCCCAGCCCATATGATGCCATTAGCTTCACATGACCACTGAGTACTCGACAAGTGGACAGTGCGAATAGGGACTAAAGGCTTATTTTGTTTTAATTTCAATGGCTACGTGCATGGTGGTACTGCCATTTGGCTTTTCTGGAAGTCAGTGGCCAAGGAGACCCTAGGGTGCTGGGTGAACCTTGGTGTCCTCCAGGGATGCCACCCCATTTGCACAAGGTAGGCTCCCACCTGCCACCCTGACAGCCATGGGACTCACCCTGGCAACTCTCGCCAAGACCTTTCCCCCAGTCTCCCCACAAAAATCATCTATACTCCACACACTGAGCCCCCTGTCCCTGAACTGCCTGTGGGTCCTGGGCAGGGCAACAGTCCCCACCCCTCATCTCTAAATGCTCCATCCGTCTGCATCTCGGGGAGTGAGCAGCTCCTGCTGCATTTGGGAATCTTGTCCAAACTGAAATTTCAACATCTGTTAAAGTCTCAAGTGCTCTCTCCAAATTTCTTAAATAGTAGAAGACCTGCCTTAAATAGTAGAAGACCCCTGACCTTTGTGTGTTTCCTACATTTGGGGGCCCCTCCCTGGGGACCATCTCTGTCCCCTGCCCTGACCAGCAGAAGCTACTTTACCGACTGAGGTCTCAGCCAGAGGCTCCTACGTCATACAAGCCCCCAGGAGGGGGTCAGAATTAGGTCCGAGAGTGAGGGAGCTCAGCCAACCCACAAGTCCACGACTCCCCCAGCATACCTCCATGTGGTACCGCCACCTTCCGGGGCAGACAGTTATACTTTAGACTTTGCAGGCCGAGAGGCAAAAGTCAAGAATATTATATGAGTGTGTACATAACAGGAAGTAGAACCGGCCTGCCCACCTGCCTGGGGACTGCTGCCCAGGTGATGACCACACCCAGTTACCACTCACTGGGGACCCTCCGGAGACCCTGAGTGACCAGACCAAGGAAGAACATGGTAGCACATGATCAATTTTACTCCATCCCAGTGACACCCTAGTGTCAGTGTGGGTAGCTGGCCGTGGGCAGGACATCCCACAGAATGAGGTTCTCAGCTGTGTCCAGCAGTGGCCAATAGCCAAATCCCCTGTGGCAGGTGGCATCAGCCGGGCACAGGGAAGGGACAACTCCACATGGTCTCCTGGCTCACATATCAGCCCCTCAAGAACTGCCTGTCAGCCACACAGACTCAGGCAATGTGTTATATCTCACCCGCAGCCTAGACTCAGCAGCAACTCATATTCCAGAACATTCCAGAAGCTGAACAAAGATGTATCCCCAGCTTGGCCCTAGCATTTAGGCTGTAAAGTATTACAGTGAAGAGCAAACTCTAGTTCTGCCACTTATGTGTTGTGGGTCCTTGGAAAAATGACATAACCTCTCTGGGCCTCTGTTGTCTTATCTAAAAAGATTAAGCTGTTGTAGATAACACCATGAACACAGAACATGGTCCCCAACTGGGCACTCACGGGAATGCCACAGCTTAGCTCTGCCCCACACAGAAACACCAGCAGGATCCTGCCCCACTATGTTGAAACTGGGCTCCTCCTGCTCATGTAGCCCACCCTGATGCAGCCAGGAAAACCAAAATCACCCTAAACACAAGGGCCCAAGTCAGCCCAAGTCACCAAACCAAAGAGTGAAGGGAGATGAAGGTCAAAATCATTGACAGTTCTCCTCCTGAGACAGCTGTGTTGTTTGGATATATCAGCCCCCCACATACACATTAACAGTTTGGGACAGCCACAGTGCAGACTGGTGTCCCTTGGCCATGGAGGGATGCACCTGAACACCAGGGCTAACCTAGGGCAGCCGCTCATGCTCCCTAATCACCCTCTCCCACCTCCACAAAGAGCATGGGGGGTCGGTTTTAAAGAGATAGAAGCTGGCCTTTGAGGACAGAGACCCCAGGGGCTGCCCCATGTGTAGACCCTCACCCACGGTCCATCACCTGTGAGTTTTCTATGACCTTGCCCCAGGCTGTGGAGAGAAGACTCACATGACACAGAGGCTGCCTGGAATTTGGCTTGGTCTGCTGTTAGTGACATCTGTCTATTACGAAATTAGCTAGGCACACAGAGGGACTGGGCCCAGGTGCGGCAGCTCCCCTGGGTGGTGAAGTGCAGGATGTGGGGATGGGAACGGAAAACACTGTCGGGCAATCAGCTGGGCTCCTTGGAGCTCTGCAGAAAGCAGATACACCCCCCCACCCCAACCCCGCTCCAAAGCAGCAGCCCCGAGGCCTGTCCTGCAGCCTGGGTCTCAGGCCTCCCACCCTCATGGAGAGACTTGGAGCTTATATTCCAGCCCCCAAATTGTGTGTGACATTTTTATAGCTCGAAGTTTTATAGGAAATGAGATTACAGCTTGACAGTAAGGTCTCTGGGAATATGGCTTTAAAAGTCGACCTAAAGGTTAGGAGAGGTGGGTGTGGATCTTCCAAAGGGCTCACAGGGTTCCTGGGCTGGCTCAAGCTTTCTCCCCTTTCCTGCCAGATGCCCCTTCCACACAATTAAAACACCTGCTACTCCCTCCCTCCAGGCCTCACTGCAGACAGCAGTGCAGCTCCCCACCCAGTCCTCACCCCACACCGCAGTGCACCTCTCCACACCCAGTCCTCACCCCACACGGCAGTGCAGGTCCCCCCACCCAGTCCTCACCC